AATTAAGACACAGGAGCCAGGGGCCTGCTTTGATCAGAAGCAGGAATAAGGACATGAATGGAAGCAGAGAATGCCCTCCTGTTGAATGACTCTCCCTAATAAAAAGACAGCACACGTTGCATTTCCCAGTGCTAGCAGGATTGAGTTTTGGTATTTAATTTCCTTCAGATTCTCTTCAGATAGTGTGACTAATAGGTTGTCTATATTCATGATCCTTTTTAATGTAGTTTCTGTAAGATTAGTTTCTGTTGCTGATGTGGATGTAAACAGTTTGTGGAGAGCTGTTTACCTAAGCATGTCTTGTTATTAAGTTTCTTTATTAACAGGTGCCATTGAACTCAGATGTGCTGATTTAATGGTTAAAAGTATGCTAATTCACACAGCATTGTAATGAGTGTCTGTAAACAAATATCTGCAATTAATATTATAAATTCATTTTTAAATGAATATGTTCTAAGGAAGAAGAAACAGTCAACTGAATTAAAAGATGAAAATTCACTTCTGAAGTAAGTCCTTGAAATTAAAAACTTTCACTATAGCTTTTTTGTGGTCTAGAGAAAGCATCAAAAAGCAACTCAATAGAGGTGGAGGGAAGGATAGGAGGGGAAGGGGATGACTATCTGTGTTGCCACTATTATCTATCTGAAAGTAAATTTTTTACTAGATAAAATAAATTCAGAAGCCTAAGTAAAGCATTGTTGGCTCTGGAGTTTGGAATATTTGTAGATATACCTGGTCTTCATTCACAATGTGTAGATAAATCAGTGGCCAATATTTCTAAAGGCTTAAAATGTTAGGCACTTTGTAAATACAATTAAAGTTGTTCTAAATGTCCTGTTGCACATGACAAAAGAAGTGCCTCTGCCAAGGGAGATTCTTGTACAAAATATTTTTAGAGCACCTGGGAGCAGTGCTTTAGACTAACATTCATAATTATCATAGAATCATAGAATGGTTTGGGTTGGAAAGGACCTTAAAGATCATCAAGTTCCAACCCCGCTGCCATGGGCAGGGACACCCTCCACTAGACCAGGTTGCTCAAAGCCTCGTCCAGCCTGGCCTTGAACACCTCCAGGGATGGGGCACCCACAACTTCACTGGGCAACCTGTTCCAGTGCCTCATCACCCTCACAGTGAAAAATTTTTTCCTAATATCTAATCTAAATCTGCTGTTACCCCTTGTCCTCTCACTACACTCCCTGATAAAGAGTGTTTCCCCATATGTGGGAATATCTTCTGTAATTTTTTTTGCTGAGACATTCATGAAGGCTGGAAACCACAGCAATGCAAATGGCTGCTTTAGATACTACACACAAATAAATTTTAAGGAAGAATCTGGAGTAATGGAGGAGAACTGAACATTATATTAATGGGAAGGCATAAGATATTTAGTCATGATCTAGAAAAGTTCTGTCAAGCTGTGAATGAATGTCTGTAATTATATGTGAAATTTAGCACACAAAAGGGAAGTGCTACTGGGGATAAATTAGAAAATTTTTTCATTATTCTAGTGTCACGGGAAGTAAAATTAGTCATACGATAGTTTACCTCTGTATCACTTTATCTCCATCAATGACACAGAAAGTACCGTTTAAATTATTCATCCAATACTGAGTTCTTTAAACTGAGAGCTTTAAGCTTCTATAGAATGCATTTAAATAACTGATTTAGAAAAAGGTGTTCATATTTAAAAAAAATAAGACCAACTTTTACAAAATGAAGTATTAGGTAGTCACAATTCATAACAGAATCAAACTTCACCTTTTCTATGTAAGCTTCATATTTGGGACAGATATTTGTTGTGTTTGATTCCGTACTTTACTCACAGAGTGAGAGGTAATAATCTGTTACAAGTCACACACAAAAGCAGCTAAGTATTCTTACTGCTTTAAGTTTTTTTTCTCATTTAAGCCCAATTTGAAACATTGTCTTTTTTTAAGCTACTGTCTACAAATACTAAATAGCCCTATTTGTATGTTTCTGTGGTCAGCACAATACTGGCTCACAGAGGAGTCACTGTGCCTGATGTTGATAATATGTGAACAAAGTCCACAGTAATAAATGTTTGCCAGGGAAATACTCTTGTATTGTAAATTATTTTGGATTTGCAGTACGTATTCCATAAGAGCAGGTCAGTGAATCATATTTTTTTTAGCAAATAATTCTTGTCATTATCAGGAGATGCCTAGAGTCAAGAAAAATGAGGCTGTAGTAGAAGAGAAGGAATTACATTTTATCGTTGCATACCTGATTGTGAGCTCTACCAGTAAAGGGTCTTGCTAAGGTCTCCAAGAAAACTGAGGGACAATTATACTATGCTTCCTCTGTCAGCATTCCAGTTCATCATGTAAAATAAGTTTGCATATTATGTGCACTGTGCAACTTAATACAGTCAAGATATTCCAACTAATTGTCATAGCTCAAGTTTTCTACATTGTCAAGTATAAGGTATAAGGCATGGGAGGGGTTTTTCCACCTGAAATATGTATCTTCTGTACAAAGTTCAAATCTCAACACAACTCTGTGGCAAGCATGGCAGCTGTGTGGGCTTTTAGAGGTTGATACCACTCTGTCTCCAAAGTTTTTTGTAATTAGTAAAAGGTAAGGCTAGCTGTGCACATAGGAGATACAAGTTCTCCACTGATACTGGCACAATCTTTCAAAACATTTTCATGACAACTAAACACTTGGAGAAGCTGAAAATCAGTGCTTCATGGAAGACTGAGACCTGCAAAGACACTGGAAAAAATCAGTTGTTCTGAAATTGAAAAGCAAATCCTGGTTACCAAGTAAAGAGGTGTGGGTAGCCTGGACTAACACTGCCAGAAAAAATAATGCCAACAAGATAGTTGTGTGGTCCTTTTTTGTTTGTTTGTTTTGTAATAGGTCCTCAGAGGATTCTAATATTCCTCAAAAGCAACACCAAATTTTCTTGGATATCTGTAGCATTCAGCGTGTCATGATCAGTGTCTGATGAATGTTGGTAAAGAGTTTGCTTTTAATTACTCTCCTGAGTTTACTGAGCGCTGAGAAGCATACCAATATTTGGAAATGTGTCTGCAATGCCCGCTGTGATCCAGCAATTGGAAATTCGGCAATTTTTTTTTTGTTGTTCTTTTGCTGTCAGCATCACTTGTTTTGATTTTTTCATCCAATTTGGACACACTGATTAAATAATGTCCTCTGAAAAAATATTTATTGACTTAAGTTCTCAAAAATGGTTGCCCCATCCCCTGCATAAGCAAGATCTTGCCAGTCTACTTTCAGTATGGAGACAGTTGGAGTCTGTTACCTGTTTGAAGCAACTTCAGCTGTCATCTTGCACATCCAAAGTGTCTTTATTGGGCACTTCTGGAGAATTTTAGAATGAGGTATTCTCAGGTGTTAGTAGTTAATGAACTGCACATAGGTTCTGACTGTTACTCAGATGGGAGACAGTGAGTTAAATTGTTATTCCAGAGAAATATAAAATAGGTGGGAACTGAGGCCCACTGTCTCTCCAACAGCTCCCACAGTCTTATGGGAGCTGTTGCACACTTCACAATGTCAAAAGGAAAGACAGAGAGCAGGCAAGAAGAAAAGATTTTCTAGTCTAGTTTTGGCTGCTTTGATTTCCAGTGCCTGACCCACAGTTTTTTAATTGCTGAAAATACTGGAGGCATGAAAATAAAATAGTGAGTGCCACAAGCCAAAATAGCATCTTGTAAGGCAGATGTAAAATCTCTCTTGCAGGTGGGAGAGGTGGGTTCAGGTTCTCTCCGACAAGGAAGATCTAACCTAAGTCATCAAGTGCTAGCTGGCTTTTTGACTGTGTCCTATTCTTTGACCAGTTAAGGTGACACAAATTGCTGCCTCCTCCTCTAGTGCTTTATTTTCTTTGCTTTTTCATATGTCATATCTTACTTTCATATATCATTTAATGGAATGTTTATTTGCTTGTTTGTTTTGCCTTTCCACAAATCGTCTAAATTAAGTACATTGTGAGAGACATAAAACTGAAGTTATTTTTAATTCTTTTGAGCTTGGCAGCCTTTATGTGTACTCTTTTTATTAGCTGGCAATTACACTTTTGGTGATGTAGAAAGAAGAGCAATTGGATGGGATAAATAAATCATTTTGACCTATAGTATAAATTTCATATATTAAAAACTTCACAGAAAGAAAGCAGGGCTGACGATTTATCAGGAAAAACAATTGTGGTATATAAAACACTTAGAATATTTTTCCTTTTTTCATCAAGTCTGAAGTTAGTGCAGAAGGCTTGATAGGGGTCTGTAATTGCTTCATTTGTTAAAACTGTTGTAAATTATTCTGGCTTTGAGAAAAAACGTCTTGTCTATCCTTTTGTGTTCCCTCCCCCTGCTTCCATTACCCACTTCAAGGTTTTTACTTTCTCTGCTAGGCAAAGTGCCTAGAAGCCAAGGAAGTTAAGCAGGGCTACCTCATTCTACTTCTAGGCTAGGGTCAATTGCAGCTCTGGGAATCAGCTGTTTCTGCTGCTAGTCTCTGTAATGGTTATGTTCAAAATGGCTTATGTCATCACGTCATCAACTTCATGTCAAAGAGACATGCTTCAAAAAAGGTACCGGGACTGAGCACACTGGATGGCATTGACAAGCAAATAAGCAGAAGGATAATATCTTACTATCTTTCTGTTTTCTTTTCCGCCTTTCCATTTTATGATTGTTTTAGTCAAAATATATGTGTATCTTACCTTTCACATGTTTGTATACTGCTGTGTGAAATAATCACCTGTTAGCAATTTCTATCTTTGTGACTCACAGTGAAAAACTTGTTATGTATCAAAAGAAACAAATTATGAAATAAACAAAATATGGTGTTACTCTGGGTGTCTCCATAATTTAGAATTTTTCTTGGGGTCTTTTAAAAAATTTCTATGATTTTAAAAGCATGAAAGTAATGTTCTTTTATAGCTTTCTGTTGGTTTGAATGATGCATACTACAGTGAGTATATATTTATTTTTTTTATTTTTTCGTAGATATTTCTTTGATCATAACACAGAAGAAGATAGGTATTTCACTATTGATGCTAGTACTGGGACAATTAAGACTGCCAAGATCTTTGACAGAGAGGAGACACCTTGGTGCAACATCACAGTGGCTGCTTCTGAGATAGGTAAATGACATATTTGGCACATAATATTAAAAAATAGAAAGGAAAATAATAATTTTTGGATTTTAAGAAACACTATCTTGAGATGTCACATTATTTTTAATACCATGGGGTCTTTAGCCAGTTTGGATAAAGGAGAATTTTCTCTGTATGTGTAAATTCCCTAATTCTACAGAACAAACAAAACCCCACATGCCTATGTGATTCTACCTATTTAAATTTAAAATATTTTGCTGTATACGATACAAGGCTGCCAGTTTACCCAGGAACAGTTCCAGGCATTCAGTGTCCTAAAATTAACAGATTGTCCAGTTTGTGTTTTGTATTTCATATATCTTAGAGGATAACATTGTATAGTACTGCCTGCGAAATTCATCCTTCCTTCTTATATCTGCTGTTTTACTGAATTGCATGTTAAATATGCCAGTATTCATTTATATCTGATGGATGCCTAGTAGTTGCTGATTATCGGGGCATATCTCTGTCCATTTAGTAAGTAAATTGACAAATAAAGCTACAGTAAATACTTACCTGTGCATTGGAAAAGCCTCAAAGTCTGATGAATTTCCATTGCCTCAGATAAGCACTGCAACAGTCAAGAAATGTCAGACTGAGTAGTCCCAGATAAATATTTTCACATGAGGCAAACAGAGTTTAAAGAACATTTCAGTTAGCCTTTTTATTACAGGCTCTTTATTTTGGCACAGTCAAAATTTAGAGTTAAAATCCCCAACAAACCAAATGAAAAAAAATCCCAACCTGGATCAGTAGATTCAGTCCTGCTAAGATAGTCTTTCAGTGGCAGTGATTTTAATCAAAACTGTGAACTTCTTTTATGTTGTACTGATGTACTCATCCAAATCCATTTTAAAATCAGTAATTGGATCTACAATGGAAGAAGGAACATATGTTGTGCATGCGGCATCAAGGCCAGAACTCTTACATTAAGTGCTGTCTGTCCCATATCTACAGCCTTTTATGGCATTTGCTTGCAAGTCCATGCACAAGGCATTGCAGAACTAAGACTGAAGCTGAAAAATAGGTGGAAGGCTGTGACCAAAATGTTATTTATCTGTAAAGGGACAGTCTCCAAGTTTGTCTAACATGGTAGAAGGCATTTGTAGCTTCTGACACCATATACTTAGCCGGGAAGATAGCAGAATCTTCAAGGCCCAGAAGGATTGGACTGCTTCAACAATAAGAGGTGCTCTGATGAAATAATCTTATTGTTAGTTTCTTCAAACGTTTTCCTCTCTTGACTTTACACTACACTTCAGTGACAGCATTCAGTTTCTACTGATCATCCTTTGGACAAGTATTTGTAGCTGTGCTTATTTTATGCAAAATAAATTTACAATCAACATCACATTTCTACCCTCAAATGTATGATAACCTCATGTTTCAGCCTTATTGCTTCTGAACCTTTCATAAGAGGTTTGCTTTCACTTTTAGTCTCAGTGTGTGAAATACACTCTGCATTGATTAAATGTCCCTCCTGAAATCAGTGGAAGTTCTGCTTTTCTCAGTGGGAATAATTTTGTGGTAATATAATGATCAGTGATTTTTCTGTTTACACAGACACTGCCTAAAGCCCACTAGAATTCATTGCCATGAGAATGCGACAATCCTTTTTTTTCTTTAACATGCACTGTTCTTTAATTGTAGCATACAGTGAAGAAGAGTGGGATTTTGGTGTCCAGGGCATACCACTGAAGCTGTTGCTTTGATTTTCCAAGTGCTAGTACTTCCTGAAAACTCCTTGTTGTATTAAGGAATAAAAAAGATGAGAAAATAATACTATATTTTTTATTAAAGAATCCACAGACTATGTTTGGTGCAGGGGCATGGACTACAAACTGAGCTAAGAATTAAGGAGGGTTGAGAGAAACTCATGTAAGAACAAGACACATTGAAGTACGGGCTAGATAAATGAATAGTGAACGAGGCTGAAAGTTGTCTGAAATGGCAGACTCAAAGGGTTGTGGTCAGCAGCCCAAAGTGCAACTGGAGGCCAGTCACTAGTAGAGTACCTCCAGGGGCTGGTACTGGATGCAATACTGTTTAATCTCTTCGTTAATGACCTGGTTGATGGGATAGAGTGTACTCTCAACCAGTTTGCAAATGACACAAATCTGGAGTAATGACTGGTACACCAGAGGGTCATGCTGCCATCCAGAGGGATCTGGATAGGCTGGAGAAGTGTGTGAACTGGAACCTTATGAAGGTCAATAACAGGAAGTGCACGTGCAGGCCCAACTAGCAGGAGAACAGCTTTTCAAAAAAGGACCTGGGAGTTATTGTAAAATAAGTTATTTTACTGATTAAGATCAATATTTAATATTGATGATGCAAAAGCATAGATGTTCATTCTAAACCTAAGCTAGGTGAAGATTTTTGTTCTTGATCATGAAAACATGAGAAATTATAGTTCAGGCTGTTTCTGTGTTAAATTATTCACTCAGCTTTCATAGTCACTTTATATTTATACCAGTCTAACTTTTAAAAAAAACAAACAAACACAAACCCAAAACCAAAACCCAAACAAACCAACGACAATAAAACCCAAGGAAAAACTAACAAACAAACAAACAAAAAAAAACCAAGTCCACAAAAGACTGCTGATGTCAGGACTGTTATTCTGAATGTCATTCAGGTAGAATTTATTTTCATAAAGCCCATGCGAATTTTGTTAATATGGAGAGGAAGTCTCAAACAGCAGTAGCTGTATTAAAAAGAAGCTTACTTCTTAAATAAAGGTTTTTAAGTTTCCCCACAGAAAATAATGGAAGAAAAGATTCAAGATTCCAGACTGGCAGACTTAAAACTGTGACTATTCACTTTGAGAAGGCTACTCTTGAGGCAGAATGCTAATAGGGCACAGAATATATCTGGCTGTTTCATAATGCACAGGCCTGAAATATATGTCAGCACTGATTGTCTTAAAATTGGAAATCTGCCAAGCTACTGCAAGAAATTTGTCTAATTAACAAAAATGTACTACTAAACGGACCAGTTACTAGAGTGGTTTGAAGACTGCAGATGAGTTGTACACCTGAGAAAGATTGGAGTTTATTTTATAATAAAACAGCAAAACCAAACCTAAAAAAAAAGTTTGTAAGGTCCCTTTTAATTCATTCTCATTCTCTCCCCCACATTGTAAAATGTGCTATTGTCCTGCATGCACATCTATGTAGTATAAACAATCTGACAAATTTCAAGACTGTTTGGTAAGTGGTGTTAATACTTTCCCTATTAGAATTTTGTAGTGAGTAGGCTGTCAGTATGGAAATTTGCCTGCAAATGTCAATGATCCCATGAGGTAACTGCGTCCAGAAAGATACTAACAGTACCTTCTGCGTTAGGAACACTTTTGAACTGGTAAGGTATTTATGAATTCTTTGTACTGCAAAGCTGCTGGAGAACAAATATAGGTAGATTCTTTGAATTCCCATGACATCTCTGTGAAAATAATGCCACACATTGGGCTAAAAAGTTTGATTTTCCTTCCCCAGTAACTATTCCAAATATACCAGACCTACAGAACAGGTCTCTGTCTCTGGTGCCCTCTGCACTGTGCTCTTCCTGCTTTTCTGCTCCCTTCCTCTTAGATGCATTATGTCCCCCTATAGCTTTGAAGATGTCCCTGCTTTAAGCTGGGGACTGGACCAGTCACTTCCAGAAGTCCCTTTCAGATGAGATTTTTCAGTTATTCTATGATAATCTGATAATCACATCTTTTTTTGCCTTCTGGCAAAAGCTTCTTCAGGTTTTGTCTAGTATTAAAATCTTCAGTTCTTTCACTAAAGTTTATGAATCCACTCCCAAATGGATTTATTCAGCCTTAACCCTTTACTGTGATCTTTGCCTTCTATCTCCCTTCTAAGCTTCTGTGTGCTCTCTGTCTGCTTTGTGTCCTTCCTTTAATTTATACTTTTTTCTAGTTCACATGCCTCACAAGCTATGTGTGAGAGCCTCTCGAACAAAGCTTCAGGAACAGAGCTTCTTTGAGTTGTAGGTCACCTCTAGATCATCTATAGCTAGATATCATGTTCTGTAATTGTAATCACAGGATTTTTGTAATGGGATTGTCTAATGACATTGATGGAGGCAGTTACTTAAATGAGATTGTAAACTGTATTTCAGTGAGCAGCAGGAAATATTCAATCTCTACTGCTTGTGCTGTTCTGCACAATCTCATGACCTGCCTCCAGGGAAGGACTAAACGTGTTTAGGTTAATGCTCAGACCACAAAAGGTCTCCTGGAGAGAAGGTTACTTCCTTCAGTAAAAAGAGTAAAGGTAGACGAATGATTCCTTTCTCCCAACTGCTTAGTAAACAGACAAGTGTCATTCTTCCTCATCTTCACTTCATATATTCCCAGCGTTTTATAATTCCTGGAAGTTTTCCACTAAAAATGTTTTCCAGATAGCAATGGAAAGCCTCAGTCTCTCATGAAGACAATTGAGATAGCCTACTTTAGTCCCTTAGTTCACCTGTTATATTCATAGTTTCGGGCTAAAACTGAAAATACCAACAGTCAAGGAAGATTTTGGTATTTTCTTCCTAAATTCCTTAGCAGACTGAGAAAAAAAGAAGTTTAAAATATTTTTCATATTAGATATTCAATATGGCGATGACACTTTCACATTTGTTACAAAGCAATTGATCGTTTTTTACCCTACAGTGTGACAGGATTAGATAACTCCAAAAGTTTTGTCCCACTTCAGTTCAAGAGAAACTTGCATTTTTATTGGTGTGATATAACAGTGACTTGAGACTCATACTATACTTTCCACTCTTTTTAAAAAATTATTTTTCAGAACAGTTAATGAAGCACAGAAAAAAAACATCTTTTAGTATCTTGCTACCTAAATTTCTGCAGCTGTATCTAGTTCTCGTCCAGTTGCTGTGTTAAGAAACCATATTTAAACTGAGGATGTCACCGAATAGTGATTATTTCAAAAGGCTTAATACCCCCTTGTATGTTTTGCAGACAATCCTGGGCTAGTGAGCCATGTTCCAGTTGGTGTTAGAATCCTGGATGTCAATGACAACCCTCCAGAGCTTGCCAGAGAGTATGATGTAGTCGTCTGTGAGAATGCAAAGCCTGGTCAGGTAACTCTCACAGTTATCTTTCTCCCATTGAGAAGAATTACTTTATCTGTTAATGCTACATGCACAAGAAGTTTGATTCCTGGAACACATGTCAATTCTTTCTGATTTAATTTTTGTATTTTACATTTGATTAAACTTTCTAACTGTATTAGGATGAAGGGAGGAGATTTGGGAACTTATTCAATATATCTTTCTTGTTGCTGAAAAACTGCCCAAACTATCTCAAGACAGGCAAAGCTTTAATCTTGTCAGATAACTGTTGGAATTTGAAAAATCACTATCGTGAACAAAATGGATGAAGCAGATTTAAGTGCCACATGGTAGAGAGTTTCAAACACAGCTCAGCAAAATGATCGGTTGACATGGTTGCCATCCTCACTTATTGCATGTTGATTGCCCTTGTCTGTGCAAAGTCCTTATGGTAAAGATGTTGAAAGGGGTTTTCACAACAGTGAGTATAGGGAGGGTCAGAACTGATAGTGAATAGCAGAATCACATTGCAGCTGCTGGTCCTGCATTCAGAGCATTTTATTGCAGTCCATGGTTTAACAATTTTAGCAAGTTCCTTTGCTTTTTTTGCATAGATTGAGCTTTTACCCAGCACTCTATGCTGGTTTTGCCATATTACACAGGTTGTAGATTGCAATTGTGAGCTCATATCTTTCCTGAGGAATATATTACTAGTAATAACAGTTTTCTCATCAAATCTTTAAAAGCAGTGTACAGAAATGCATGATAGGAAATTTTTATTCTTAATGTGAGAGTATAAAAATTCTGTACTTTGTCAGACTATAGGCTGACCAAAGTTATCTTGCTTATCTTAACAGTGGCCAAAAGCTGACATCTAAAGAGCAGTATAAGAATATGGCAAGCATGTATGATACTTACTCCAAGTAATTCCCTGGTTTCAGATCATTTGCAGATCATTTCCTGGTCCAAGTGTGGTTTGTGTGTTTTTAGTAATCCTTTAATAACAATCTCATAAACATCTTTATAGCTTTTCCTTCAACAAATATAAATTTTTTATATCTGCTACTCCATTCAGCAAGGAATTTTACAGATTAATTGCATGTTTCAGGAAGATGTACAATCTTTTTTTTTTTTGCCTTTTTTAAAAATATTTGTCCCATTCTGTCTTCAATCGATATTTACCAGTTCTTGTGTTGAAAGAGAGAGAGAAAAAGAGCAGTTGATCCCTCCTTATTATTTCTGTGCCATTCATAAATCTCTAGCACATTGCCTCTCAGCCATTTCTTGGCCAGACTGAAGAGTCCTACTTAATTTGGACAGGCTGTGATAAAGCCCTTCTACACATTTGATCATTCATTTTGTCCTCTAAACTTTCTCTGATTCTTCTCTATTCACCTTGAGATGCAGAATCAAGATTCTAAATGCGGGTATGCAGTGGTTTATAATTCTTATCATAGTTTATACTTCATGGTATTTGGTGATCTCTGCTTTGTTCTCTGTTCCTTTCCTAGCAAATTCTAACAGTATCTTTGCTGTTTAACCACTAGGAAACATTACACCAATATCATTAGAAGTAATGGTCAGCTCAGAGATCGTCATCATGTATGTGAAGTTAAGACATTATGTCTATGTATAACAAATTTCACCTCTCTCTGTATTGCCTGGCTACTGAGTACTGGAAGGTCTTCAGTGTCAGCCCTTCCTCTTTTCTTCCTTGACCAACTCAGTATCATAAGTAGATTTAGTGGGGTGATTATTCATGCTAGTGGGGTGATTATTCATGCTTTTTATAAGATGTTTATTATTACACTGACCAACAAGTGGCCCAGCGTAAATCTGTGTGGAACAGGAAATTTCTGAGACTTCCTTTCCTTGTAGAACAGATAATCTACAGAAGAGATGCTGTTTCCTGTCTTTTTGAGCAATTATTTGTGCAATGACCTTCCCTTTTATCTCATGACTGCATAGGTTTATTCAGCGCTCTTATTGAGACACCTCACTGAAAGCCTTTGAAAATCTAAGTAGGTCTATCAACTGAATATCTCCTACTAACATGCTTACTAAAGTAAAAATAAAGTTCTGAAAACCTCAAATAAAGCCAAATATAGAAAAATTGGGACTTGTAAAAGTCTAATTAAAAAATATGAATTCTCTTAAAGATTAATTGCAATTGCTTTCAACATATTCTGATATTTTTAAATTATAGAATTTAACAATAATTGTTAAATAATTGTTATATTTAATAATAAACTAAAGCATGTAGTGAAGCTAGCTCAGAAGTGCTCTGTTTGCCAGGTTTGTTGTTGGTGGTAAGCAGCTAAGGTTTCTTATTAACAAAGCTTTAACTATCCAGTAGTAATTTGCATACGGAAATTTGTGAGAGAGATGTTGAAAGGACAAAATAAGTTTTACTATAGCAACATTTGCTCCTGATTTGTGTCAGTGTTGTATTTCTTTCTTAGGTGTTGCTGCAAGTGTGAATGACTCTCGACCTCTGTAGCATTGCAGCTTAACACCGAACATTAATGAAGGACTCTACAAGCAGTAGTTGCCTATGAAAGGCTGGATAAGCATGCTGTTGTATTGTTAAGCTAACTGCACTCCATTATGTACATGACATATTAATTTTTATTCACACTGCACAACAGGGCTTCAGAAAAGATTGTGATACCATTGCAATGTACAAAAAACAAAACCAAACCAAAACACAAAAGTACATGGCTCTTAGTCAGAAGATTTAACTGTCTAGTTTAAGAAAGAAAATTACAATGTTCAACAAGTATTAAAGAGGGACAAATAAACAAGGATTACAGAGTAAGGCAACTGTTCCATATGCTAAAAAAGTGTGCCCAGATGGGTGGTATTGAATCACTGAAAAGGCAGTATTTACTCTGAGTTATCCATCATCTTGTCACAAGATTCATAAGGCTTGTCACTAAAGAACAAATTCTGTCAGGTACTGCCCGTCACTTCTGTTTGACTAGTGCTTTGAGGTTGGGCTCCAGCCCTGCACTGCCCTGTAAGAGTCCATATTTCATTCCTCAGCACATTTATTCTGAATTTATTATGTGCAAGACAAACTAACGAATAGTTTGTCATTGGAAGACTTCTTGTGTTTGCTTGTTTATTTTCAGAAGAGGCACCTATGGAGAGAAATCACAGTATCATTTAATAGCACAGCCTCTGCCTCCTGCTTCTTTTTTCCTCCACAGCTCAATTTATTTGCTTTATAAAAAAAAAAAAAAAAAAAAAAAAAAAAGAAAAGCCAATAAAATTAAGGACTTAAGTACTTAAATGAACCCCTCTAAGACAACTGAAACAGAAAATGCTTGTGAGAAGATGGTCATTTCCACACTGAAGTAAGTGATAGCTTTACTCCCTTGTCAGTCACCTTGATGAGAAGATAAACTAAATATCTCCAACAGCTTCCAGGTGAAGCCTGATAGACAGTATATATTAAAGTAAATAAAGCAGCTGTGATTTGGTCCTAAATGGTATCCAGACTTGTAGAAGTTTGACTTTAGAAATATACTGGTTTCACTAATGATTGTAAAATTTAACTAATGTAGGAAAATGAAATTTTGCAATCTTCCCCCAAGTGAACTTACGAATGAAATTTCCCTCTGCTTCAAATGCTATTTTTTATTATTATTTTTAAGCAAATGGGAGCAATTAGTGATGTAAAAAAATGTTTCAGTCGTTTGTTCTGAAAAGTGAAGGAGTGAAGCATTGACAGTTTCTGAATGTTTCCAAGTTCAGTGTTTCTTCTGGCAGAATATGGACCTGTTAAAATATCTGACTAGGTCTGCTAGTCATTTTCATTGTAGCTCTCCAAAGATTAAGATTTTTATGGGTGTTTTTCAAAGGATTAATAGAAGTTGCGATAGTAGTGAAATGTCATTTCCCTGACACTATCCATCACTGCAAATTAACTCATAGGTGTGTGTACATGTGTGTGCACACACACACACACAAACACACAGGACTTTTGCAGAATCAGAGTGCGTAAGTATTGTGCTGCCAACATGAGCTACCTCACCCTGGATGCTATTATTTCTAATAGGCAAAGGAAATCAATGTTAGCTGGCAAGGAAGAGCCCTGCTATAAGTTGTAATGAATATATTTACTTGTTTATTGATTCAGTTCTGAACAGGATCAGTTCTGAGCAAAATTTAACACCTGCCCTCTATCCTCTTCAATTAATTCTCCTCCATTCTTGAAATTCTTTCTTATCAACTCTTGCTTTCAGAAAAATAGCATAACCCTTCCATTTCATTGCTTCCATGCTGTCACGTGAGCTTTACAGCAGCTGAGGTTCCGTGGCTACATTTTTATTTTAATCAGCTTTGGTAAGGTACATCTTAATGTCAGCTAATAGACCATTAATTAGTTGGCCTATTCATTAGACAAGGGTTAACAGTACAGCTGGATGTCAAAAGAACACACACTTTTCTTCCTCATCTCTGAATGAATATCTTAGAAATCCTTTCCTTAGAAAGCAAGAGCCTTTTCTGATAGACTGTGAACTTATTTTGCTTAAGCAGTTCTGTAAAAAATATTCTGACCTGTCCTATTATGCATACAATGTCTGTCTTCCACATGGAAACACATGATTCCTGTACCATCTGGTGCTATACTCTTTACATACATTGTTGATTTCAGGGGATACTTGAATTTCTATGTGTGAAATCAGGGAATGTAGGCAGTATATTTCATTGAGTTTTAAAATTAGTCTTAAAACCAAATACATTTTATACTAGTCTTGTGGCACTGAGGTCTTAATCAAATGGCATGTTTTTGAAACAAGATTCTATAAAAAGTTACTGAACTTTAAATGTAAGAGGGCAACAGGATGAAAGTTTATCTACTAGGTTGTCAAATAAAGGCAAAAGTGCATGGCAGAACAACATATACCACTGATAAATAACACTGAGGATTTATAAACAATATTTAATAACCTCATATATTTTTAAGGTCTTATCTGAATTCTTTTTAGATCTATGTATGTTATTTAACAGTATATTTAGTATTTGAGTAAAAACAGAAACTGATTCTCTTGAAAGTATTCTTCCATCAACCTTTTTTTTTTTTGTCTTACTTTGCCTCATACCATTTCAACATAATTAACTAAATATATCTACCTAAGAAAATTTTATTTTTCTGTTTTCACGTGTTAGTTCACATGGCAAAACATGGTAGTTGTTTCAATAACAGGTATGCCACCTTGGCAAAATTCAGTAGAGAGCAATTAGCTTTTGCCAAACTTTTTCACCAGTGTTGCCATGAATTTGGTAAACTGCATGATTATAGACATTTCAGATTGATCTTATTCTGCTACAGTTCAGCAAAAACATATTTGAACAAACTTTTAAAATATTCTCAGCAATTACCATCAGTATTATTGTCTCAGGTGTGTATAGTCATGATAATGTACTATGTAATGTATAGTCAATGGAATAAGCATACTACTCTGTATCGGCTTTAAAGTATATTTGTTTTGCTTTTCTTATGTGAATGGAAGTAGAGAACTGTGTGCTGTCTTTTAGTTTTAAAGCAGACCTAACCACTTGATCCCACACTGTTTATGCTTCGGGTTCAGTCCAGACAGACTACAGGTGAACACTGAACAGAAAAATTTTGATGAAAAAAGTTCTTCTCCCTCCCCTTTTTACGTTTACCTCAGGGCATCTATCAGCTCTGTGCAGCAGTCTGTGTGGGCTTCACTGCCTATATCACAAGAACAACTTTTATTAAATTCTACTTTAGTACTCGAGCTTCCAGGCGCAGCATGAAAATGAAAGCAGAGGTAGAAATATTGCTTGGTCACACGTTGCAAAGCTTAACTCAGTTTTAGTTGAAAGTAAATTTTAAAACCACCAGGGCTTTCAAAGGCAAAGGTCCTACTTTTCAAAAATACCTCTCCCAAACATGGTTGCTACAACTAATTCTGTTCCTTTTGGGCAAACCAAACTAAAACCAGGAGCGGCTGCTGTTCTTCATGTTCTGTTCTCTAGCAATTGAAAACTGATTCTTAACAGGAATTTTAAACAGAGAGCTGGTATTATATGAATGCCATTTTGGTTAAACAATTATTTTTCCTAACCTATATTGAAGTGCATATAATTATTGGGACAGCAAGCAGATGGTGCTGTAAAAACAGACATTTAGGTGAAACTCTAATTCTGAAAGTCACCAGGAAGCGACACAGATGATGAAGATCTCTGTACCCAGTCCTGGCCTTATCAGAATGCCAGAAAGTACAAATGCTTTAGATGCTTCTATCTGGGTCTGAAGTGTGGTTCCTAAAATATTTCATGCCAGCGAAATCAAGCTAATGGCCCAGTGATTTTATTGGTTGAATTTAGCGGTGGTCAAGTAGAAAATTAAAATAAGTTGAGTTTGAGCTTCCTGCTCAGGTCACATACTGTTAGGGTCAAGTACAAATTTCAACACATTCACTGTTGATTTTTATTTCAGGTAATTCAGACTATCACTGCAACTGACAAAGATAACTCTGCAAATGGGGCAAGATTCCATTTTTCCCTTGATGAAGGGCTTTCTTTGAATCCCAACTTTACTCTAAGGGACAATGAAGGTAAATCAAACACAAAAATCTCAAATAAATGGGTCTCTTTTTTGTCTGGGATGTCTCATTGAACAGATCAATTTCCATTCATTCCTTGAAAGAAGGTGAAAACTGTAATCTGTCAGCACTGGCCTAGCTTATATCAAGGACATGGTTTGCAACATATTGTAAACCATGAATAATCAGATATTGCATGTTATTTTTATATTCCATTTTATTTTAGCATTTATACTTTACACATTCAGGAATGTTTTTCTAAAGTGGATGAATGAAGATGATGTTGACAATTTGGTCTACTTCTAGATGAATAGCACTGAGTGCTGTCAAGGTTATTGCTGGTTAATGATTAAGGCAGAAAATAAGAATTTAAGGGGCATAAAAAGTTAACTTTTATGGATATGATACCAAGAGCAGGTCCTTCAGTACTTCCTGGATTTATAAGTCTGTTGCTTCATGTCCTTCCTAACAACATGTTCCTAAAAAGCACAAGCAGAAAATTATAAGACATAGGGTCAGAAGGAATAGGGCCTTCAGAGTCACCCAGCCAAGTGTTTCTTAATGTTTATTGAATGAAAGAACCATCCAGCCTTTCCCAAAAAAAAAACCCAATGTCAGCCTTACTGGTTGTTGAGTATTGCCTCATGGTTTCCGTTTTGCTACCTGATGAAAGTGAGACTAAGCTTTAAATGCCTGTTTGTAGCTTTTCTCTTGAGCTTTTGTGTATGTGTGTGTTGTGTGGTTTGGTTTGTATGCATGTGTGGAAGTGTGTGGGGGTTGGCTTTAAAGTGCAGGAACTTTTTACAGTAGTGCCATGGAATAGTTTCTGAGACCTTATAGATCACTACTCATCTGTAAAGACTGAGAAGCATGAACAGCATCATTGGCACATGTGGCATATATACATGTGGGATATTTAAACTATTCTTTACAGATATTTTTTTATCTGTTTTTAAAACCTTTCAAAGAAGGAGACATGCATAATCTTCCTAAAGAATCTGTTGCGAAGTTTAACTATACTTACAGCAGAAAAAAAAAATTGAGTCATGCCATTTGTTCTGACTAGATTCGTGGCCCTCATATTCTGGTTGCAAAAGAGATCAGTCCAATATTTATGAATACTAAAAAAAAAATAAAAATTTGAAGGACTCATTCATATATGAAAAATATTCCTTAAGTGGTGACTCCAGCCCTTTCCTAGATTAGTATAATCAATTCTGCTCAGATCATGATGGAGCATTATAACAAGAGACAGAAGGGTGACTCCAGCCCTTTCCTAGATTAGTATATCAATTCTGCTCAGATCATGATGCAGCATTATAACAAGAGACAGAAGCTTGTTCCTGAAATAAAGGAAGTGTATTTTTTTGTATTTTTGCATATGAGTCTAAGATTAAAATAAACTCATTGAGCATTGGTCTGTGATCTCAAGTGAGATACCATGGCCATGTTAATTTCAGTATAAGATACCTACATCAAGACATGCTTTTGAATAGCTATTAAAATTGTGGTTCATGATGAAGTAGATCGTTTATGTTTTTAAACATATTTTTAATTGAGGTCTGTATTATATATGTTGATTACCAGTGGAAAATGCTGTTTTATACTTTAGGGACTGCATGCCAACATAAGTTATTTACCTGCACAGATTTATAAGAGGATGAGAACTTTTTATATATCTCTGATGCTCCAGTGTTATGCTATGGATGTAAGCATGCAGCATTAAGTATTTGCTGCTTTCTTTTTACTTCCTCAAGAGCAATGAGCAATGACTTTACCAACAAGAGCAGAAGGCAGTGTCTGGGCTATTCTTAGCTGGATTTGTCAGGGGGAATTAGGGGAAGGAACTGGGAAAGGTGTCCTTTAAGGTAAAAGCCTATTTTGTATTATGTTTTTATTTCACCTAAGAAGACACAAAACGTAAGTATGCACTTCCTGTAGTATCTCACATGAAACTTCTACACATACAGAGACTCCAGAAATGCCATTTCCAATTTGCCTATATAATCAACGCAATGACAGTTTAACTCAAATCATAACAACTAATTTATCTTAAAAGTATTGTCACTATTTTGCTCAGCACATGACCCTTTGATTGTACTGTTTAAACACCCTTTATTGGGACCTTTTCTTTGTGATATAATCTGTATGTGAAATATCAGTGAAACACTTATAATGTGCATTCACAATATCCAGTTATATAGCATTCACAACTTTCATATTTATCAACTATTCCTATTCAGAAATTGAATTTCTGTTGCTTTCTATTGTAGGAAATAGCTGAGGTGGTCAAAAGAAGATTTTCTTATGTCTGTGACAAATTTGCATTTTTGAAAACTCATGTTTTTGAGCATCATCCATTAAAAATGATCAGAATGCTCTTAACACATGATGACCACTATTTTTACCTCTGGATTTAATAATTCTATAAAGGCTGGTGTTCTTGGATACTTTTATTTGTTTGTTTCTTCTGTTATGTTTTTTGAAGCTACATCAATTGCATTAAGAGAGTTTCAATAAAGTTTTGCAGAATAATAAAATGCAAAAACTCGATGTCCTATTGAAAGTGGTAGTCAGTGGTAGCTATGTGTGTCACTGCAAAGCTGTTATTTCTCTTGCAGTTGTCTTTGGATCCAGTCATCCTTTCCTTTCATTTCTTCAGGACAAAGGTTTCATTTCACAAAAATCTTAGTAGACATTCTATTCCCTTGTTTTCATAACCCCAAAAAACAGAATTCTGCTCTTTGAGCCCCAATACAGTATTGAATTAATGTTCCCCTACTCCATTACCACCTACTCCATTACCACTCTACAGCTACAAGATCAAAAGACTCTACAGAACAGAATTGGATTTTTAAACATTAACTCTTATGTCTGTGTGCTTTGACTGAAATCTAAAGGACTTGCACAAGCATAAGAATTCATAATTTGTCCCATATTGCATGGCTTTAGCAGACAAAATAGATATTAATGCATCAGTCCAGATAATTGGTCATATGACCACTTAATCTTTTATTTCTTGGTCCTGGACTTGTGCCTTTACTCAGTGACAATCCAGTGTTAAAGCTTCAGCCTTTGAATATGCACCCTCGTAATGCAGAGCTTAAAACCCTCAAGGAAATGTGGACAGAGATAGGGCATGCAGTCTAGCAGGACCTAACTGTTGCTTGGACCACCTTCTGGATTCTGTTTCTGTTTGCAATTTTAATTTTAAAGAAGAAAATGGTAAAGACAGAATATGATACCTTTTTCCCTGCTGCCTGAATTCTTAAGCTACATTAGATTCTTTGCTGCTATTTGAGGTTTTCTTATATACTGACAAAGTACTATTCAGAGAGAGTAAAGGCTCAAGAGTATGAATGAGAGGACAACCAACAAAATTATGCAGTGTCTGTGCACAAGTAAGCAAGACAGAACAAGAGCTGCAATAGAATTCCTTTGCTATACAAAGAAAACTTGTTAAGCTATAATCGTTTCCTGTGGTTTTAGAAAGCAAACCCGAAGAAGATGCCTTTTTGTTTGTTTGGGAATTGTACTCGTGAAGGCTTTTTAATGAAAACAAGGATGTTTACAATTTATTCTGTCCAGAAAAAATGTTGCGATTTCAATTAAAACCTGAGCAGCCAAATACTTTTTCAATCTGGAGATGCTTTTATGTTTCATTTCAGAGCTACATAACTCAGTTCATTGTTGTCTGTGCTCTTCTCACTTTTTTTTTAGGGTGTTATAATGGATAATTTTGAAATGCTTTTTTAACTTGTGTGCAATTTTTTAAATTTACACTTTTTGCCTAATCAGAAATATCTGGTTTTGGATGTCCCATTTAGAATTTGCCAGGGCAACAGGAGACTAAAAGCACCTTCTCTTCGGGAATTAGAGGAAAGATGAGAGAACCTCTTCAGAATAGAGCTGTTTCTAAGTTCTCTTTTCCCTTTACCCCTTTAATTCTCTCCCCCATCCCTGGGAGGGAGGAGGGGGGAGGGTGAGCAAGTGGTTGTTGTGGTGTTTGGCTGCCAGCCAGGGTCAAAACTATGACAATATCTATGTCAAAATGTCTTAGTTTGATGGAAAATACATATGACCATATGTCATTATTATGATATCCCCAACCATTAACGTACAGACACATACTTGCATAGCCTCTTTCTCTCTGTATTTAAAATATTTGTTCCCTCTTTCTGCCTATTTTTTTACCTATTAGAGACCTCTTTCGTAAGTTAGACCACACTTTTCATGGAGCTGGCAAAAGACTGAACCCCTAGAGACCAGTTCACTAGGTGCAAGATAACATTTATGAATTTTATGCACTGTTTTGCAGATGGCACTTTTTTTTTCACAAGATGTACAGTGTACCATGAATGCTCCAATGGGTATTGTAAATTTTGTAGATGATAAGGGTTTGTACAGAGACTGTGCACATTCACCCAACACCACCAATGTGTTTTGTACATGCTCTTCTCTTAATAAATTGAGACTGCTAAATTCTGAAAGTAGACAAAGTTTACCTTACTTTCAAGGAAGAACAGCTCCATAGGGAATGCTTATCGTTTGTTCTCTTCTCCTTGTATTTCTTCAGGACAAAGGTTTTGTTTCACAAAAATATTTGTCATTTTATTTTTCTCCTGTGCTCACCTTTTTCAAAGATCTGGCCTTTTGAAAACTGCCCAGTGATGGAGTATGTTCTGGAGGTGGAACAAAGTTAGGGCATTTTTCTAATACTATCCCTTTGGAGATTCCTATTTCTTAGTGTTATGCCACAGAAGTAGAGACCTGCTATTCTATAAAATCTGGAGCATATTGAGTTCAGTGGCATCTGTATAGGATGAGATTTGTAATGTGTTCATCTATCCATGCCTGTGATGCAAATTAGCATTTTTCCTGTGTTACAGATCAAAATAAGTCAAAAAAAGACCAGTTTTACTTGGCATTGCTGTTATTTAGGAAGAGATCAACCACCAGAGATTAATCCCATCCCAGCTCGAATTCCCTTGCAGAAGTTTCTGTTTATCTCT